CTGGCAACCCCGTTGCGAGAATGACTGTAAACTTAGATGGACATACAGTGGCCGGGGCGCTGTCCAACTGCCTTCCTCCATGGTTCGACACAATGATTCCGTGAACACCATGATGAACAGCCTCTTCAGCGTCATCGCCCCGCATCACACCTTTGATAATGACCGGCAATTTCGTTGTCCTGGAGTCAGCTGTATCATTGGAATATGAAGTGAACTCTAAAAGCCAAGGTCTAACCTGAGTAGCCAATCGACCAAGTCCCAATTGAGCGAAGAATCAACCTGATTCGAAACATATTGCATGAAGCCTGATGATGCAGATTTGGACGACGGCATCACTGCAGCTTGTAGCGAGGCAAAATTGGCGAACCGAAAACGAAATGGTTCTCATGGCTTCCATAGGTATTGATTTGAAGCTACTACTAAGATTCCTCACCTCAATCCATCGGGGAGAGTGAACCCATTTCGAATATCACGCAGACGTCTTCCAAGTACTGGTGCATCTACTGTGAGGACCAAAGCCTTGCAACCACATGCTTCGGCTCGGGAGACCAAGCCCGATGTGACTGTCTTGTCCTTGTAGACGTAAAGCTGAGAAACTGATTGTCGAGCTAACCATAAACTGTGTTTACTTTTAAAGAATGCTGGAAAGTGGAGATCTCATTTAATTTTCACTTTCAGGTCTTCATCCTCAGCAGTTTAGAGACAGTAGACAGATGGCTGAGAGGGGAAGAGGGGGGGGGGGCGATCGCTCTCAACATTCAACACTGGTTGAAAGGCGGTGGGGTGTGTGGCCAAAAGCCCTCTCGTCTCTTCCAAGTGACGCTGGCGCAACCGCCCGCTCCCAGCCATCGGGCCCACTGCCTTTATATCTGGTTTTGAACGTCATCCCAGTGACTGAGGGAAGTGCTATGATTGGAAATAGATCAGAAGTTTTATGTCGGTGAACCCCGTCGAAGAAAGCGTTGAAGAGAGTACCTTAGGGATTAGTAGAAACCTTTAAACACCACCGAAAACTGTGACCAGCAACTGCTGCCCCCCTGGAATCATACTTTATCCATTCGTTGAAGGTATTGTACATGCTTGTCAAATGGGCGGAGCGAGCCAACTATTGCGACTTCTCTATTGGTGTCCTCTGTCCCATGACACTAATGAGAGGCGTCATTGGGGATGGACAGTGATTGACTGTCCGCCCACATGATCAGCGCAGACTCTGCCTTTGAAGTCATTTTGAGCAGTCGAATGTAGAATGTAGGAAAACTAGGACGAGCAGCCCAGCTTTTGATCCTGTGTATGCTGAAGGCGCGATAGGCTTTAAGCCACTGTGCCACTTCGCTTCGGAACGCAATCCCTAAATTCAAGAGCTGTACATAACGACTTCGTAGTCGATTACATTGGTGAGAATATAAAAGAAACTTGGGGTAACCCAAATCCGGTAAGGTGGGTCAAAAACCGGTAACGAGGGCAGCTCCCATGCCCACGGTGGACAAGTATACGGTCAAGATGAAAGTCGTTTGGACGAGCTATAAGCAGGGTGCAGCAGCATCGCTTGCCCATCATTTGTATATATTTGTTAATACGCTGTTACACTTCTGGTTAAACATTTACAAAAATCTGAGTAACGGGCTTTACCTGGAACCAAATA